AAAAAAAAATACATGGAAAGCTCTTCCTTATTTTAAATGAATATGATATTTTAACCTTAAGGAAGCTTTCAATATCATCGCCAATTATACATGTTAGATGCTACAAAACCAACCAACAACGCTGTTTGTTACTTCAAACAACATTCAAAGCGCATTCCGTAGTATTTTAAACAATTTACATTATCTCAGAAAATACCCTTTTATTGCTAAATGGTTTGCTTCAGTGACAAACCCGAGTTGCTGAAGTAATCTAAAATCATCTATTAAAGAACTTGCTAGTACATACGTACCAGCAGAAATCTGTATTACTGTAACTGTGAGTGAAATATTCTCCTGTACTTTATAGGTGCAAGCTCCTTTTTAAATTTTTCAACACTTACAGTTCACAAAATTTGTTTTAGGGCAATTTAAACGAGTCTTTTCAGAGGTCCCTGAGGTTGCAGAAATAACCAAACTACTTAACTAGGTGCTTAAGCAGGGAAATCGGTACTTAATTAGAGGCAACCAAGGTTGAATAATTTTAATGGCAATGAAAATTTAAAAGCCACTAATGGAAAGACAGTTAATTTCCCTTTTTTCTCATACATGTATTATAGACTACAATGTAGGTACTCACTGGAGCCAGGGCATCAGAACGGAACCCCAGCTCAAAATGAGACTGCAGTACACAATTCCGCTTGTCGTCCGACCATTAACAAGAACTACACCAATTCTCACTCCTGTTCCCCACAAAATGTTCGCTGTGGCTTTTTTCATTTATGTTTGCCAAAATATGCCAGTACAAAATCTTCAAGAAGCACTTATTAAGGTGACCAAAAGGACAGCTATTGCTGTACAGTTACACTGGCTCTCACTGCGGGACCGGCTGCTGCTCGTTCTCTTTCTTTAGCGATTTCCATCTCTATTTTGGCTTTGATTTTATTCCAATCCACTTCCAGCTGTAAGAACAGAAAAGCAAGCACGCAGAGGTCAACTAACATTATACAGAGAGGTCAAACAGATAGGTATTCACTGACAGGACAATTTGAAGTTACAGTTACAAAGTGACCATAGCAATCATTGTATAGTTCTTCACGTGTAAGTGACAATTTATACTAACAGAATGTATGAGGGCACATTTGAGTTCTAACAAACTGAGCTTTCCACCTTTAAAATGAAATACGCTTGATATATTTTAACAAATACTAATACATCTCATTGTGTCTGGCAAAAAACCCATTGAAATACAAAAATAACTTGGATCAACTTGCATCTAATTTAAACGTAACGACATCTGTGTCCTATTACTGCGAATATAGCCCTTTATCAATAATACATGCAGTGATGTCTTTTGACTGCACCTAAAGTCCACCAAGTAAACTGATAGCATATTACACGAGTTATCTGATATAACAGAAATGAGATTTCTGCTGGAAATTTGTCTTCTACATCAACAAATGTTTTAGCTTTATCTTGGCATTTCTCCAGCTGCACAGAATCGTCGTTTTCTGGCTGTATTCTATTTCAGTGAAACTTCAGACAATAGATATAGAGCAATATCCATGGTATAGTGGGGTACAATAGCCGTCTTTCTTTCCAAAAATGCTTCACAAGAAAGAATGGATCACGGTGCATTTGATAACTATGAAAACATGTCCAAAAACTGGGCAAAAATGTAATTGCAAAGTTCAGTTTCATTGCTGGAGAATTAAGACTGTCAAAGATGGGATGGGAAAAATATCTCAACTGCTGCACAGGGAATTTTCAGAGTAGCTGTTACTCTGTTAACTAAGTCATGAAATAACAAGGAAGATTCTCTGCGAGAGGAGATATAGCTGCAATACCCACATTCTCATGTGAAAAGGTTAATCCCTCAATTCAGGATGCATTTACTGGGTCCAGGTGCTTTGGATCTGATGACTGAAATCTTTATGGAGCTCTAAGAAAGAATGTGTTTGCTTTAACAGATGTCACACAGATGCTAAACATACCACATATCGGGCTAATTCTGCCATCTAGCCCAGAGAGCTACTTGCCAGTGAAGCCAACAACCCTTGCCAGTGACACCTAGTAACTGCCAAGATATGGATTCTCAGTTAACATATTAGGTTCATAATACCTTATCGATAAAGATGTGAGATATAACAACTAAGCACATTGTTTAGATTCCGGATCTGATTGCAGATCAGTGGTCTCAGCTGCAGCATAGAGAAGACATAAGAACTCCCTACTTAAGCCTGAAGGAGTTTTAGGTGGTGAGAAGGAAATCGAGACCCTTTTTCTTCCTTCCCTGAGAAGGAATAGCAACACAAACTCTTGCTTTTCTCTTTGATGCCCTTAACGTTTCCTTCTAACTTTGCTATGTGAGTTTAACAGACTGTATTAAGAATTCAGAGACCACTGTAACCAAGAGCTTAAAATCCACGTCATTAAGTAGGTTCTCTCCTAGTTTCAGATCCAGCAGACAGGACCCAGAACACAGATGCAGAATACAGCTCAAGGACTTCTTTACTCCAGGAACCTTCTGCAGTCTGAGACCCAAGTTTCGAGACTGAGTTTAAGGTGAAACAGGCTCCACTCGCATCACCCAAGGTGTTATCGCTTAGGAACCCTTCTAGAAATTTTGGCTTTCTTGATGATTTAAAAAGACAAGACAGTACTATCTAAAAAGCCTCTTTCAGATGCATCAGGGGACTAACATTTTTGCTCAATAACGGATTTAAATTACGTAGAAGACATATTTCTAGCATAGCAGCGCAAACTGCTGCATGGCAAGAGTGCTTGGAAACCGTTCTGTTATTTTTCTGTATTTTCTAGGTAAAGAATGGTTCACTGGGGGGCTAGATATCGTGCTGAATTTTATTCTTGTTTAGGAAATGAAACATCCCTCAAAGTGCTAAAAGCTAATGACTTCCATTAGAAACGGAGCTTTATTGAAAGTGTAATGGGCACTGCCCAGTCAAAGGACCTGAGCTAACAGCTTGGATGTATTTCCTGATCCATCAGCTACAGTGGATGAAAGGATCCGACACAGTCAAAGTACACGTCTCGTTTCATAGTTTCACCCCCAGAATGCTTAGGAACAGCGAGGGGAAGAGCAGGAAGGGCTGCTCAATGAAACTGCTCTCTCAGGTGCAGGTGTGGGTGCCTCTCGTAAGGGGAAACGCGCAGAAGCACTCCAGCGGAATCTAAGATACTTTTAGCTAATGAACTGTAAGATCTGTCCTCAGTCTTTAAGATCTGTGAAATGTTAATAAATTGAAATGACCTACTGATGCCGGAGAGGGTTTCCAGAGGTTTGATGAAATTGTATATTTAGCTATTTATCATATTTGGCAGAACGGTTCGTACTTCACTATTAAATATATATCTGGATACCTTCAACATTTGTTATCATCGCTATCCATAAAATTACATAAAAATATTGAAGACATTTAAGAATTACACATTCAGCCATACTAAGGACTAGCTCCCTGTTTATAGAAAACAACTGTGCCTTCACTTGTATAATCCTTGCCAGATACTAAATATATACATTCTGTATCTGTGCCTTCAAATAAAACACATGCGCGACTATTACTAGCCACGTAGCCACACATCAAGCTATGAACTTTTACTCAGATGTAAAATCTTAAGATTTGTGTCCAGATTTGAACCAAAGAATGAAAAATGTAGGAGCAATCCCCCCCCCGCCCCCCAAACTGGCAACAAAGAGCAGGCTGACCTAAAGCTGTAGGAATAATTCTGAGGAATACTTACACCTTCTGCATATTGCAAAAATCTTTTGTTCGTTTCTTTTTTACCAAAGTCCTCTAGGAACTTTTGTCGATAAGCCAGGACTGTGTCAACATGTGTCTTGTGCTTTACTGCTAGTTCTAGAGCCCTGGAATAAAACAGAAATGGGCTTGTCAGGCTATATAAATGCTCTGGCACAACTACAATCACCATGGTTTTGCAAAATGATACGCTGAAAAGCGATTGGGCTGCAGGCAAAGATTCCTAATCTATAGTGCCAAGCAGTTTTACATTAGTATCAATCACAGGAGGTTAAAAGTAGCCAGCGAAGGAGACCGTCTACTTTATGATGCACGCTCTGAAAAATATTCAACAATTATTTCTGTTGACAACCTCATCACATCATTGGATCTTGACAGTAAGAGTCTTTTTATTTCAAGGAAATAAAACAGAACGGTTAGAGTTTAGCACTCTCAGTATAAAGGGGCAAAAGTAATAATTTTTAATAACTATTGTAGTCAGGAATCACTTCTGAACAGTGTCATAATACATATTTACAGCGTATGCTACACAGCAGTTACAAATATTCTACAGGCAGGAAAGATCAGTCATTGGATAACATATATAATTGATTTCTCTCATCTGTTTTCTTCTCAATGGCATACGGAATACTTATGTTGGATATAGAGTTTTTAGATGACACATATTAGGCAGCATAATAAAAAGACACAGATACGTGGGGGAAAACCAACTTTTTGCCTACAGTGATATGAATATAATAGCAGAGAAATTAGTAGTAAATGGCTTCAGAAGATTCTGTTAGAAAACGTGGGATTTTGTTTAAAGGAGAAATTCCTACTTTGTTTTCTCAGGCCTAATTCATATTTCATCCACCTACACAGTGCTGGGAGTCTGAATAGCCACATATCTATTTTTAGCAACAAGACATTTCAAAACAGCCTTAATTCTTCGAGGGTCACATACAGTTTGAGGTATTGCTAAGGTCTCTTCTGTGTTAACAATACTGAAAAAGCAAAATGTTATTTAAAAATGCTTCCAAGCATGTTTTGAACTTTCACCACAGAATACTTGCATCTTCTCAATGTGATACAAAAACAGTTACTTGTTTGTTTATTGTCAGGATATGATTAACTTAATCTTTTTACAGCTCTGGGCAATCACAGATAGGAAATTAGTCAGCTAAGTAGCTGCGATATTAAAACCGACCGAAATAATTTACAGGTTACCTCATTAAGACTGCTTATAAACATTTTGTGTTTAAAGAAATACTACCTATCCCAGTTGTAAAGATTAATGTTGACTTGAATAGCTTGATAAATAAGGCCTGTTTGCAGAAGCAGGGTTTCGGCTTCTTGGGTGTTTCCACTGAACAGCAGTGTATGAGCCATCCTCGACTCTTTGGATGGAAGATCTTTGATGGAATTGATATATTGAACTTTGTCAATCTGTTAACGAGATGTACAACAGTTTAATAAGGGAAATTAATTAATAAAAGTAGTTTTGCAACAATTTAGATGGAAATAAATAACACCATTCTCTTACCTCACCAATTGATGCATAGGCGATTTCCGCTGTAGCCATGTCTTTGTTGGCAACTGCCATAGCAGCTAAACATGCCCACATAGTTTGATCCTGAAATTTTAAAAAAAATGCAACTCCTAAAACTTCAAATATTTATTATCATACTAAAAATGACTTCTCAAAGGAAGTATACAAGTCCTGAAAATAACGTATAACAATACAACATTTCTCAGTATGCCATTTATGGCACTGTGGTCTAAGTCTCTTCTGGTTTGAGGACCTCAACAAAGTCTCTTATAAGAAAGTCACTAAATTATTTCTCAGAACTCCTTCATTGTAGAAAAGTTGATGTTGTGATCACCTGAGACTGATAGTGTGGCAGAATGAATCGTTAGTTTTCAGCATCTCAGCCAGTAATGAACTCTTGCCATAGTACCACTTTATGACCTCATCATCGCTGTCCCTGTCACCACTTGTGGAACTACACTGGAAATCAAAGCACTGGTTGTAGTTAAAAAA